CCTACTGCAGTTCATAAGCCCGTCCGCATGAACTCTCTCTGAGGTCTCGGCTCGTGGTGTGGGATTCCTTCAACTGCGCCCGACCGAGGCTGGCGAGCCGGCTGGGCGACAGCGTGGGGCTCGGCAGCACGAACTGCTGCGTGGAGCGCCCCAGGTTCCGGTGGCGTGACCTGTGAGGCCCGGCCGCAGTGGGAGGGGCTGTCCAAGTCGATTCCTAAGGTCTCCAGAGTTGATTCAATATTCGACTGAATCTCTCTCTCTCTCTCTGTCTATAGAACAGAGGAAACAGGATTAAACACAATAACAAGCAATTAGAAGAACAACTCATTGAATCCGATATTGAACATTATATTTATTCAATGTCGCAACTAGCCGATCCTTAAGTGCGGCTGTAGGTTCCTGAAATATCTTCGGATGTTGATTCCATATATTATTGTTTTTGCCACAGCCCGCAAGGATTGCAAGAGTTTGGCGCTCCTAGAAACTGACAACGGTAACCAAAAACTTTGGCTTGCTGTTCCAAGCCTGTCCTTTCAAGTGTTCTAACTTTATCTAAGATGCCGCAGCCGGCACAACGTGTGGCACGGTGAGGTTGCCTCTTTGTGCTCTCTTTGGAGACAAGAACCTGGCCAAGTCAAAACAGGGAAACCTGGAAAAATACAATTTTTCCGCCAAAAAAGCGGAACCCAATCCCCCATGGTCCAGTAGATTCTAGATGATTCTAGCCGTTCGTTTGACCAAGGCAAAGGGTCGAGGCACCTTGTGACTCAGGTGAGCCGCCGGCCCGCTCTCGGGCAAGGATAAGGCCGAATCTGGTAGGTTCCTGAGTTGAAGAAACTGAAGCGACTTGTTTGGAGAGTTGTACTCTAAAGCAATGGAAATCATGCTAAACATTGCTCAAACATGGTGAGCCAATGTGAAACAGCTTGCCAACCTCTCTAGACATCTCTAGACCATTCTAGAACGCTAGGTCACATTTCAGATGAGTCCGCTTGGAAAGCTGAGGTGGACACTGACAAATGTACATAGTTACGAGTCTCGAAACCGAGTTCAGCTCAGCCGTTGGCGGAAATGCCTGCACAGCGCACCCTCGCCTGGCAGCTCAAGGATGCACAAGGAATGAAGCGCAAACACCAAGGTGAAACGATGCCAAGCGCGTGCTCCGAGCGGAACCGGCGGCTTCTTGGAAATTGCATCAAATTGCTGTACATTTCTTCGTCGACCCTCAGCAAACGTTGAGTTCCAAGCCGGAGTTTTTGCTGAGCTTTCCAATCAGCAGTTCATCTGAACTCAGATTTGACCGGCCCATCTCTCCATGCCTGGGTGAAGCTGGTGTGCTCTCCATGGATCCACGCACCTCCGCGAAGAGAAGGAGCGTCGGCCGCATCCAAACGACGGATTTCACCGGGCACTTCAGGAAGCATCTTGATAGCTTCTTGCTTCAATATGTTTCAATGGATTTGGGAGCTTCCCTATAGTGCCAACCAACCTCAGTGCCACCAGTGGATTTGCGGTTCAAACTGAAAACAATACATCATCACATACAGTATGTTAAATTACATCACACAACATACACAAACGGTCCAACATGGTGTTCGTGTCTCACTATCTCTTGCTATGTCTCTCTACGCTGGCTGCTGTGTTCACTCTCATGGAGAGACTCATGGGACACTCCCAGCCTCCAAGGCTCCGGATGCCGGACAACCATGCCCGGTCCCGTGCGCTACGTGAGGCCGGGTAGGATTCAACTCCACGCGGTAGCAAATACTTCTCTCGTGGAGCTGCAGTATATGATGCAGTTGGAAATCCATGGGTTGCTGCAGTTGGACATCTATGCAATGTATCTATCACTGGAGCTTACATTTCGGACCAAATCCTATGCTTCATGTCTTTAACGGCATTGGATGTATTGTGGTCGGTGTCGGCTAACCACGCTGCCAAGGCGATTACAACTTACATCAACTGACAATAATCCATTATGATGATTCATAATCTATACAATATGCATTTAACATGCAAGTGCTATTTCCGTCCATTCAACGTGACAGATCCAGGGACCCCTTAGGCATGTGTCCAAAGTCCGCTGCTATGCAATTCGCATGGCAGCCGGGCCGCCTGGTTTTTTGCAAAGGTTGCGACTGGGTTGAAATTCTTGTTTCAGTGGACAGTGGTGGAGGGCCTGAGCCCAGAGGCAAAGCGCTCATGGAGAAAGTGGTCACGAGATCTCCAAATGCGATTCCTCGATACAATGCAATACATCAGCTTCTGGCTGCATATCGTGAAGAAGCAGTCCAATACCTCATGACGTTCCAGCAACAAGAAGCGGTATGTTGTTGGGCCGAGACAGTTGGAGCTGGAAGGGGCAGCGAAGATTGCAGTTCGGCCAATGACATTACAAGATCCACAGTGAGTCTCGAAGCCTAGGGGGGGTCTACATTCTCCTAGAGCACCTGGAGAGTGTGGTTGCCAAACCAAGCCTTCATGCAACATAGGACTCCAAGAAGGACTACGGGAGGCGAGCCAAGCACTCAGGAAGTTCGTCGCTGAAAGGGACCGATCCAATCAGGATCGGAGGAGCTAAGGTGAGACCGTCGTGCCTAGATGGCTGAGGAGGCCAAGGTGGAGAGTGCACCGGCTGCCATTCAAAGCCTGAAGGCCACCTTGGCAAAAGCAGCTTCGTTTGGGATGTGGATACTTTCCATCAAAGCCTTTCCTCGAGGCAGTGATGCAAGCGGCTGAAAAGGTAGCCAAGGCACCAAGTTGTGTTTCAGGTGTGGAGGCCCACGCTTGGAGGCCCACACTACATCATCCATCCTGTTCAGGAGAGCAGGCTCCATCTGGCGTGCTGCATCTGATGCAGCATGGGCCAACCGGCCCAATGGGAGCGACTCCACCGAGGGCGTTTTTGTTTTTGTAGGCGTGACAAAAGCACAACTTCTTCAAGATCGGAAACATTATATTTCAGATTATGTCAGCCATTCACTGGAGGTCTTCAAAAATCCCTACGATCCCTAGAGTGTGCAGATCGCCTGCAGCGGCAAAGACTCAGGTGAGTTTGGACGGAGAGGACGACTTGTTGTACTTAGGCGTACTCTGGATTGACATGACTGGAGGACAACTTGACCCTCTAAATCCTAACATGGCAGCACAGCAGGTAGCAGCCATGGTAACAAACTCAAAGAACTCGATCGACAAACTTCACCAACCAACAGTGTGCATCAGTTTAAAGGACTTAGAAAAGGCGTGGCATTGAGGCAGTGGCACTTCGTTTACATCTTGAAGCAACACATATTATACACACCCCATTCACTGGGGCGCATGCATTTAAATTCCTTGGCAAGGTCTCAGGTTTTCGGTTGCTTATGTTTGTGGTTTATTGTGGCTTGTGGTTCGTTTTGGTTCGGTAGTTTGCTCAAAGAGGAGAAACATAGCATTCCAAGCTGAGCTGTCTCAGGTCCAAAAGGGTCAGAACAAATGACACGTTCTATTCAACATGGCAGCTCAAGGGACCCCTTAGGCATGTCATGTGTCAAAAAGTCCGCTTTCCAATTCGCGTAATTATATACATAAAAGTAATGACTGGAGCCAAAGCAGCTACACGACTCAGAACTCAGAAGATTCCGGATCAACTGGCCCCAAATGGAGAAATCCGCTGAGACCAACATTGAGAAGGACAAAAACCTGTTCAACCTCGGAGAATTTACTATGCTGACAAAGGTTCAACCCTTCCCAGCAAATTTCCGTCCAGTGCTGTCCACCAATCATCCTTTTCCACGGGGCCAACGACAGGACAAGAGGAACAGGCTAGCGGTTCTGCCGGCAAGCCTCACAACTCACAACAGCAAGATACAGCAAGCACTCCAAACCCCATGGTCCTCGTTGGAGTTGATTGATCACAAGCGGAGAACTTTCCAGCGAACGTGATGAAAAGCTTGGCCTCCATCACAGATCATGCAGCTAAATGGGGCGATTATGCCATGAAATTCGCATCCTGCCTTAGCGGTTCATGCCACGATATGTCACGTTGCAATGAAGGTCCTGTGTTCACAGTTCGCTTTGCAATCTCAGCAAACAGTGAAATTCGATGCCCTACAGGAAAAGGCACCAACTGGGAGTTGGGTGTCCAATCGGGGGATATCCCTATAGAGTAAAAGGCTATCATGGTCCAGCATGTGACCGGTCACCCGGTTGCAGACCTTCATTGCCAGTGACCGGTCACCCGGTTGCGCCCTTCGGACGTCCGTGGGCCGAATGAGAGCTGTGCACGAAGACAACTGCGCCGGGATGTAGGCCGTGCAGGTGTGCACCAGCTCTGCCAAAGACAACTGCCATAATTGTCAACTGGAAAACATCTTAGGATTTGACAGTAGTCTTCATCCAAAGATCCTCACTGGGATTGTTGGGATATCCAATCAAATATCACGCTCTGAGGGTCTCCGAAACAGCAGTTGAGCTTGTTGAAACGCTCTGGTGGAAGCGGCCAGGTTTCTTCCAGGCCCAATTTCTGGCTGTACAAAAAGCAAAATGTCACGACTGGACAGGGTTGGAGATGCGACCGCCCTGCCCTGTTACGAAGGCATCGCTGATATGATGTTTTCTTCACCTGAATACATATGCGGATAATGGCCACAGCTGAAGTGACTTACATTAATCAAAGCCTTGTTCTGTGGGCGATCACGCGGAAACGACCTTGAAAACATGTTCCGTGGATCCAGTCTGTTGTCATCCTTCGGCAAGGATTCATTGTGCATCCGAAACGTTCGAGGACAGGCGAACCCGACGAAAAGAGTATACCAATTCCAAATAGGTTCCTCAAATGCCATAGAGGAATTTGAACAAGAGACATCATATTACTTAAAATATATTATAAGTAATTCTTATAGGAATAGGGTACAGTAGGTCCTCTATGACTCTATGGTTCTGTGCAAGGGGAGCCCATCTCATCTTCAGAAAAAGGAACATAATTATCATGATGTTTGTTTTCATTTTCATTGTTATTTGCATGCATATTCTTTTCGCGGCTCGTCCTGTGCCTCTCGTGTGGCTAACGTTACGCGTTGCGGCGCAAATGGGCCATTGCTCATTGCAAGTCATACTCTCCACGGCTGGAAGAGTTGGACCTCAGAACTGAACGGAGCACCGGCTGGCCTTTTGCCTTGTGCAACGCATTGCAACGAGGGAATCCCCTCATTGAAAGAACACCTTGACACACTGAAGCGACCTAACCTGTGCCATGTCCTTCTTCGCAAAGTGAGCATGCCATGCCTTCTCTGCTTATCTAAGTACTCCATTCTCAAGATTCACCGCTCCGCTCCATCATATCATCTCTCTGATGTTGCAACCTTGCCACCCCGGCCGGACCCCACGACCTTTTCCAGCCGAAGCACTTTAACTGACGTCTTCATAGCTGACGTTCTTGTGCGCCATGAAAGACGGCATACTGAGCACAATGAACAACGGCACATGCAAGCCACGCTCTGCCGTCCATGGTGCCTTCAAAAATTATTCCAAGAACAGCAAGGACATGTTTTGGCCAAAAAATGTAAAAGGTATTTAGCGACACCCCTGGTACCAAAGGGATGCTGATGACACCATCACGGTTTGTTGCCCGCTCGCACGGCTGCCGACCAAGCCATCTATTGGAAGACTGTGCTCCCTTTCAATCCAAACCAAGGGTGGCCAGCTGTTCTTTCTTTTGAAGCAAGGAACAAATTGTGGGGGTGGGTTCCCGACCATTTTGTGGATGCAACAGATTTCCCCAGATGTCACGTCCACCGTCCGCTTCGCATCAAACAAAAGGGGATGTGCCATGCCTGTTTCAACCGTTGACAAGCTCTCCACTGGGCCCTCTTTGCGTTCTTATCCGGTACTTCACAGTATGTGTGTGTGTATCTCCACATGTCTTCCTTTGCACGGAACAAAAAGCTGGAGACGGCAAATGTACATCTCCGCGTCCATCTATAGCACAAAGACAAAGCAAGGGGTGCATTGTCATCGGGGGTCAGCCCTTTTGATATATGTCTCGAGTCTCAAGTCGATGGACGACTGCGACCAGGCGACGGACGGCACCCCCGACAAGTGCTGCAGCCGCGGCGGAACGGCCTCGGAACGGAACGCGGCTTGCGCGGCGCGGCTGGCGGTTTGAGTCTCACCCGAGGTTTGGAGCGGTGCCGCTTCGCGAAGCCAAGGTCTTCATGGGTGGTATGCCATGAAACTAACCCATCAATCCTATCAATACATACAGTCACTGGTCCGAACACCACGTTTCTTTTCTAGCAAATTCTGCTAGCTGCTATGTGGACTCTGTCCTTTCTGATTAACTTTGCAACACCTCCTGCTGGAGCTTGTTCCTTTCCACGCGAGCCTGTGTCGCTGGGCAACATGTGAGATTGTATGAGGGATGGTCAATATGAATTCCTTAATCGTTCTAATGAGTGACATTGTGAGATAGCTACAACTATTTATACTACACAGTAGTGAGTTTCACAAACAAGAACAAGAGTACAAATGCCTACAATCTGCCCAATTTGTCAATACCTGTCATCTCATGTTGTGTCTTGGGCTTCTGTTCAGTGAGCTTCAATATGCCTCCATAACTCCCCCTGCAAATGTCAATTTGGACAGGCCAACGGCTGGCCAACGCTGCCATGACACACCTGGTCAACCACACACCTGTGGCCCATGGTGGCCCAAACACTTGATTGGGCTTTCAAACACTCATCTGGTCAGTGGCAAAAGACCTGATGGAGATGCAAAGGTTTCTTCCATCCACCAACGGCTCAACAGGATTGGTCAAACGCACACGCCAACAACCTTCTTAGGCCTCTGCTTCAAACGGTATGCTTCAAACACTTCTGCCTTTCTTGTTGAAGGCTCTTCGATAGTGCGGACCTTGATCAAACATTCGTAAGTGCAAGCGAGCAAAAAAGCTCAACGATTCGCAAGAACTCAACTGAACTTCTGCTGAGCTTTGGAGAATTCTCCAGAATCCTGGGTCTGTGTGGGACACTTGGTGGGTCATCCATCTTTCAAGTTCTCTCACTCTGAGTTGATGACTGGCGGCACAAATGGCCTCATCCGGTTCGTCGCTGCACTGCACCCGCCTTTTTTCCCCAAGCCTCCTAAAGAATCTATCTATCTATCCATCAGTATCCATTCTTAAGAACCGTCTGAATCCCGAATCAGGCTCTCATGCCTCATTGGACCCACTGGATACAGGGGATGGCCTGTACCACGTGGTCTGTTGAGTTGCAAAACACTGTGCAAAGGAACTCATGGCTGACACTCAGAGTGAAGTCCTTCATGCGGAACAAACCGTTAAAAGGAGTAGACTGGAGTGACTTCGAAAAACCTCCAAACGACTCTCATAGTCCTAGTCCTGCGGACTCCTTCGGACTCCTTCGGTGGTCTCAGACCACCGACCGATGTGTCGACCATCCTGACACTCTCGCTTCGGAGCCGAAGTCAGGAGCCGCGCCCTCTGAAGCGCCGTGCGTGTGATGGTTTTCCTCTGTGGCCCTCGGCCACTGGCAACTCTTGCCGGTTGACCCCGGTGGGAGGAAGGAAGATGAAGGAAGCACAATCTTCGTTTCGCCATCGGATCACCTGATCCAAAGTTGCCATGCCTTCCAAGCAGCGAAATAGAGGAGACCTAGCTTGGATTTGACACGGAGTCTAAATCAGCAAAGTATACGGTATATATCCGTATAGTATTATAATGTATTATAGAATGGTCTATATATAACGAGGACAAAAGGGTGCTCACTGTCTCGTGGATGCATCTGTTCGTGCAACCACCCAACGCGCACACACACACACACACTGATGAATATCACAAATGCAATGGGTTAAATGTACTCCAGTCAGCTTGGGCCCACGACCATCCGTGCCAGGGGTGAGTGCTCTGAAGCCGCAACCAGTTTCCTGGCGCTTCCATAGCTCTCGTTTTACACTCACGCCTTTTTGGTGCGCAGGGTCGGAACACGTCTCGCTTTACCAAACGGTTGACTTCACTCAAGCAAGTATACTGTATACATCTGTATACTTGGTAAATATGTTTATAGAGTTTTTTTGTACAGGGTTTATTGTCATGACTTCCCAAGCACAATCCATCTGTTTGGAAGCTGTGGGAAAAACCATCTTTTCGATGTGATGTTGTTCATTTGTCATGATGCAACAAAGAAATTGCAAAGAATCCAAGGCTTTCAAGGCTTCTCGTTTTCGTCGTCTTCCCCGAACTCTTTCAATTTCTTTCCGCTTTGCGTCGCTTTGCGCAAATCCTGTTGACCCAACATCTGCAAGTGTCAAGGGATCTCCTCAGTGCCACAGCACTCTTTCAGCCGGTTTGCAAGAGTTCCTCTTCTGCACGAACAATCACTGCACCGACATACCATCTAAGACCATACGAAGGAACTCCCACTCGAAAGAGGGCTTGAAGCTTCAGAAATCTCCAAATCGCTGATGTCAAATGCTGATGACGAGCTCCCCAACCGTCGCTCTTTGGAGCAAACGGCCAACTGCCAAACCTGGGCGGTTTGAAGTGCTGCGCTGTCAAGCTTGGAACACTGAAGCTTCAATCCTTCAGACGTCTTCAGACTCTAGATTTGCCAATAAGTTGTGGAAGCATCCTTTAGGGTGCCTTCATGTGCCTTCTAATCCTTCCAAAGTCCTAGTGCACGAGGAAGTTTCAATCCTGTAATCAATGGCGTCTTTCGATCTCTTTCTGCCCATTTATGGCTCTACCAAGAACATCCACACTTCATCACACTTCTGGGTTGCTTTCCTCTGCTTGCTGGTCTTTCGGTGGAGGTGCACAACATCACTCGCCACCTTTGAAACGCTCTTACATGATAGTGGTTCCTGGCTATGCCTATGCTCCAGTGAAACGGTTTCTGGTCCAAGTTGACTATGTGTAAGTGAACCTGGCCGCATGCCGAGAAAACTACAGTATAGTATACTGTAGTTGACCTTTGGCGAGAAGGGTCTTGCCATGATTGCAGTTTTTTCAACCTTGCCTGCGGACCTGAGGGCATGACACGAACTGCAAGGTCTACGTCGTATTCTTCTTCTGCCACCTGACACAGTCTGGCCAAGATTGAATGAATGAATGAATTAATTTACCACTTCTTTCTCTTTCAGACTCTCTCTACTCTCCAAATGAGAGAAGGAACTTCGACAGTTGGTCGACACTTTGGTCGCTGGCCGATCATGCATCAATCTCATCAATAAAGCTGGACACACAACTTGAGGCCGAGGGTAGGTGACGAAAGCTAGCAGGGGTGCATCCGGACTGGTGGGACATCAAGCGGAGTGAGGCAAATGCTCTTGAGGTAAAACGTTGTGAACATGTAAGACACACAAACAGCAATGACACAGCCAACCTTAGAATTGAAGTCCCCGATAATTAGGGAAGCGTGGCTGGACTTTGCCACACTGTTCGATGCGTCCGATGTGTTCACGAACCTGTGAGCTTGTTGAATCTGTTGCACTGTATCCCAAAACCTCCACGGAGGAGTTGAACCAGTGTGGATGCCATAAGAGGTGCCCAAGAGGTGTCCCAGAGGCAAAACAAAGCTGCTTGCATGATTTGTTTGGTTTCTTCTATCGATGTCGATGTCATGAACATGTGAGCAATCTGCTGTTGGATCGTCATGTATATGTAATGAGGGACTGAAGAAAAGCAACGCAGCATCATGAGCATCACGGGAAGTCACAAACCAGGCGTATCAGATACACCTGGTTTATGTATGTTTGTTGGAGCATCTTTGTCGAGTGAAGTGTCAGCCATATGCACTGAGATGCCGAAGGAAGCTCAAAGGCACGTGTATCTGATACGCCTGGTTTCTGACTTCCCGTGACGCTCATCATTGAAGCCTTGAACCCTCGCGTAAATTTCATGTTTCATGCCCCCCCTTCCAAACTCAAACAGTGGCCTACTTCACCTGCCACCTAAACATAGCACTATAGCACGTTCCGGAAGCGTCCCAGGGGGGAGTTGAACCCGCGGGGGGGGGGGCCCCCCCCTACACGTGAAGTTTTCACGTGATTCATGATTCTCGAGGCTGCGAGCCCTTGACTTGCTAAAGCAAGAGCAACTCCAGCTAGCTGATGCTAGCTTTCGTGATCTTCAAGCAAATTCCTCCCGCCTGCTCACATGGGTCCAGGGGCAAGGCCATGAGATAGAGGACTGGTAAGCCCCACACGTTCAACCTGAGTTGAGCGTAAGTGGTGCACTTTGTGTTTTGGACACAGCAAACGGGGTGCCGCGGACTTCCCAGCAGCAACAGAATCGTTCGTGGTGACCGCGGAAGGATTCCCGTGGCCGAAACCGTCAACTCGTTACACCGGCCGCGAGTTGCACCGAGCATCACCGCCCGAAAACCCTCTGCGGATCTGCTTTGAAAGCTGCGTCACCTATCCTCACCGTGACTCGTGCACAAACCACTGGAACAAACAAAGTCGGACTGAGCACCCCACAGAATCAGTGCTATAAACTTCCCAATGTGTTGCCTGAGAAGTGGTCAAATTGGAATGATTTTCAGGCAGGTCCAGTGAATCAAGCTGACAAAACTTCAGCAGCGTGCGTGCAGCCACGTTTTGTATAAAAGCGAAATCGTCCTGAACAAATGAAATAGAACATCATGGAACTTGACGGAACTTGGCATTTTTGAAGGATCTCCACAAAACAAAGACGAGTTCTACTTACAAATGAGCCCAATTATATAGATTGATTGATGAGCGCTGTATAATGAGGACAATAGCCACAAAGAATCGACACGGTAAACAAAAACTCAAATATATGCAAATGGAAAAGAACAATGTAAATCTATATATACACATATAGTTGCATAATAGTGTTGATAAACTTGAAACAGAAATGATACACCTGTACAAAGCACGTGGCATCAATTGAACATGAAAACTAAGTATGTGCATCATCCGCTTGATAAAAAGTCTCAACAGCCTACTAGATTGTGGGGTGTTCTGATTCACAGGACCGCGTAGCAAACCACAGCCAGCACACATCGACACTGACTCTTTCGTCATGTCCATCGACTCGACATCGAAGACTCTTTCGGGCGCGCGGAAGACTCGACATCGCCTAAAACCGATGAATCCAAAGGCATAGCAAATGGTCTTCACCAGTAGCAAGCAGAACTGCTTGGCCTGGGCACCAAGGGATTCTCCAAATACTTGGTCAATCTTCCCAATATGCAGCATGCGCGAAGAAACACGCGTCCAACATCAACATCCCAATGATTTGCGAACATCGCGCCCCGTCGTGTCATCGTGTCGAACATCCACATGCACAAAATCCCTTTTCACAGCATCATGTCCTTGTCGAACAGCCTTCTTCCGATCAAGTAGAATCTACTTCGTGACTGGGGATGTGTGACCACCTCTCAGGTCCTGGGCCTGATAGGGGAGCTCTCAACTTCGGGGTTCGCCATCCTCCATCCTATGTGTGATATCAACATATATATAATATATATATATATCAAACTGCTCTTCGAGTGGCGGAGAACCATGACTCAAGGTCATGCGCAGCAGGAAATCTCAACCTTGGCCCGACAGTCTTCTCAACTGGCAAACTGTCTTGGATCACTTCGGATACCATCCGTATTGTGGCCGGTCTGCCTCTGTTCTGAGCCTTTGAAAGCAATCCAATTGGCAGCGTGATTGCACTTCAGATCTTGATTTCAAGAAAGTCAGTACAAGCGTTGCAGTGATCATTCTGTCTGGTTCAAATGCACTATATAAATACCCTTTTGGACCTTATATATACAGTATATCTAATATTATACAATATATAATTAATGTGCCAATAGCCAAACACATCCCCTGCTCGTCCCTCTCTCTTTCTTGGAACTGGGCAGCGCGTCCAGTCCTCCCCAAAGGTTCACCTAACCAAAACAGCGTTCCACGACGGCCGGTGGATTTGACAAGTTGCCTTTCGGTTGGACCGTCGGATCTTCAAAATTCCCGCAAATCCCTCCAGCCAAATTTGTGCAGCATGCCACCTGACGCATGTGAAATCCTCCACTGCTTGGGCTCCAACAAACATGGCCAGCAAAGTTGTCCTCAATCTCAAGTGAACAGCGCATAAGAATTGAGGTGCCAAGTCGCATTCCATTCAACCGAGAAAAGATGATATAACAAGTTCAGATGAGTGATGAGGTGGAAGGTTGTCAACCTAGATTCTAGATCACATGTGCGAATACATGAGCTATACCATCGGAGAATTTCTCGGACATGCCAAGCGCTAGTATCTGTTCAGCCGCCACCATCACCTTTTGCTTCTGCAATAGTAACACTGGCAAAAACAGCAATTAAAGGGGCACTCCAAACGCCAGGTACAATAAACCAAGCCCACCAAGCTACATCCTGGTCCCACCCCTGTCTGTTCTCCCTGCTCCTATCCCTATAGGCCCCATGATCCGGCAAGGACAATATGTCCTTTGGAATCAAAACAAAAGGAACATTTGACCAATTGCTGTGGACAAGGGAAGATAGATTCTGCAAGACACTTGGCAAGAATGCAATGTGAATCAACCAGTCCGTGAACCACCCATACCTGTCTTTGTGGGTACCGTGCACCTGTAGTTGTTTTCTTTGTACTTGCCGAGCTTCTTGATGCCCACGACACCGAAAAGCACAAGACCTGCACAGCATGCAAGACGCAGCTTGGAGTACCAGATGCATGAACATGCATGAACATGCTGGATCCGAGCAGCGTAGAGGATCGGATTGCAACAAAGTTCGGCATTCATATTACCCTGCGCATACCACATATTCTTACCGGCCTATTTCTGTGGACGTCACAGCGAAGAGCATGATGAACATTACAGCTCTGATGCGTCCAGGATCATGTTCATGCCTCAGTCACAAGCCAACATCGTTGAACTTCATACACAGGATTTGAGGAATCCAGCACTTTTATCGTTGCCACACAATATGCTGCATTGGAAACTATTGCAATGGTTGTTTCTGTTATAATATGTGAGGTCTTCAGGGATATGATGGTCGGATGGTGCATGTGCCCATTCTACCCTTGTCATGTTCAACTGGGTAGGACCATGTAGGACCAGAAACAACGGAGAACATGACCAACATATGACATACAGTATGCAAATGTATGTCACACGTTTCCCGTAGTCGTTATGTTCTTGCAACACGCAAGAAGATTCTTCCGTGGCATTTGTGACTCCTAGCGCCCTTGGACAGTCCAAGGATGTGTTGCTGCAAAGTCAGTTTTGCTTACAACTTGTGTCACATTCTCAACATATAACATCATATAACTCAACTTTTGACTTTTGCACAATTTATATAACAAACATTCAAAGTATATGAACTGCAACAGCACGTAGTATATAACAAGGATTCTCAACCAAACCTTTGCCGTAAGTTCGTAACATTGATGTCTCATAGCTGAGATCCAGACTTGTCCAGAAAAGCGCCCCAAAGAAAGACTGCAAGCGGCTCGCACATTTTTGAATGTCTGTAGAAGACTCAAGCTGGTGTTTGTGGTGTAGAAGTGTAGAAAGCCCTTAGATTACGAATCGTACGTAGTAGATCTATATAAATGATCCACAGCAGCATCATCGACTTAGCTTATTTAAGGGCACATACGCCATTACGAGGCAAATCCGCGCCTATCAAACCGAAGGCCACGATGGTGGCTATGACGGACGCTAGAAGCGACCAGGTCAGCACATAGTGATATGCCATTCCTGGATTCTCCGCTCAGAATTCATGTTCTCCGGCACCAGATGACAATACACTGGTCACCAAACCATACGAATAACTAAACTAATCAAAGAAAGCTGGCAAGAAAAATGTTGCTGGACTTGAAACTCAGCCCGACTGCTCAGCACGAGGATAACAACTCCACTGCGGGACGCACGAAATCTTTGGTGTCCTGATAGCCACACTTCCAGGCACCGTCTGGTGACACTGGACCTCAACTAGAATGTGATACTACCTGATCCTCAGGAGCCAAGCGATCCGTTGGATTCATGTGGATTCATGCAGTGTTCGATGCTTCATGCTTTCATGCTAGCCACCTCTGAAGAACTATATTATAACTATAACACTTTACACGATCAAAAGCACCCTTGCAATCCCCTGCATGTCAAAAAATGTGGCAGAGTTGCAGCGGAAATAATGGAAGCCTCCCCATGGTTTTGGTTCTACTCAGCACAGGAGCTGAAAAACCACTCGCAGAAACACAGGAGCTGCTCCGTTCATTAGGATCATTAGGTCCACAGGTCGGTTCAACCGTTTCAATGAACGGTCCAATTGGAGCTGCTCCACAGGTCGTTTCAATGACACAGGAGCTGCTCCATTTGGACCAATTGGACTTTCCAACATTGCATTGTGATTCGCTGCATCTTTTCCTCGACTGACACACGTTCTTCAGTCATCGCCCTCCAAAAGAGCATTGAGCTCTTTGGGGTTGACGGCGAAGGCTTTTGCCTGTCCAAGAAGCGCTGGTCGAGCATCTCGACGTGGACCAAAGGCCAATTCCAAAAGTCCCTGACCGCCCAAAAAATCACAAAACATAGCTCTAACTCTGCCTCCCTGATCTTCTTCTTTTTCCTGATGCCCTTCTTCCTGCAGGCGGAAGCTGTTCAGAACGCTTTCCAAGAGTCATTGAATCTGTCTGTTTGGAAAGCGGAACGTCTGGAGAAATGGCGCTCTGAATTCGCACTCAGAAGAGGCATGACTTCTGGATGAACTCGGAGTCAGCACCCTGCACAATACTTCCGCCCTAGTGTTCTGGGACTTGTAGGTATCGTAAAATCACTGATCCGGCTTCAATCACTGGCCTCCAATATCCAACTGTGAGTCCGCATTCGCCTTGCTTCGCAGCCACCAACTCAAAGCCGGCCTAGCATATCTGTCGCTCTCAGTCCCAAAGCATCCCTTCTCAGCGAAAGCGAAACGATGTTCAAATCGTCATGCGCATGATGACACCGTTGAGATCCTTTTGGTTACCTTGGGTTTGCCTCAAAAAAGAACTCTCCGCAAAGCACAAGAGAAAGGATACAATCTCAGGGCACCTGATCAAAGACGGAGCCTTTCATTCCATCTGCCCAGTCTCCTTTAAAGGCCTGCCCAGTCGGCGGCAAGGGAACACTCTGCAACGGCATGCGTCACTGAACGGCGTGGGTCTGGACGTTTGGACCGGTGCTCCACATCCCGAAACCACACCAAGATATGAAGGAATTCACATGGAATTCACGAAAGATGCAGTGGACCTTCCGGAATGTATACGTATGTATACGTAATTACTTAATGATTCTATAAGATATGAAGCGACTCCTCGCGTTCATGTAGGATCTTGACTTTCCAAAGTTGGAACAGCTGGAACATACAGTAGCTGAAGTGGCTGAAATTCCCTTTCTTGCACCCCTACCAACAGCCACTTTCTGGTTCAAATGAGAGCAGCGCAACCTGCCTTGGCGTCCTCATTTGAAGCGACCGCATAAAGCCGTCCTCGGACCGATCTAATCATCTGTGAACTTAAAGAAAGCATTTTCGTTGCAACCAAGAAGAAATTAGTTGAGTGCAGGACCACTAAGGCTCACTAAGGCTTAAGGCAAGCATCATGTTGGGACATGTCGTCTCTCATGAGCTAGGTTCGATATGGTTATATCATGTATCCATCATTCACATGTCTCCAGGAGATTTAGATTGTCATGTACCACCTGGTACCAACCCGAAGGAAGCTGTACATCTTCAGATTCTGAACGATCCTGGGCTGTCCGAAATTCACCCGTCCCATACGACCAGGTCGTCCGAAGTTCACAAAGTTCACCAGGTCGTTCGATGTGTCCAGCAATGGCAACAACTTGATTTGCTGCTTTTCTTCGGGGGACGGACATTTAAGAAGAATTTGGCGCCTGAAGGCGTGCGGGCCAGCTTACAGACTCCCGCAAGCATGTGTTTGGAAGAGAATTCCCCGTGAGCCTTCCAGAAATTATGCTAAGAATCAGCCAAATCCTGTCTACAGCCATCTCAGAGTCTTGCCGGTGCGTTGCACACAACCCTTGCAGGAAGTGCTCTGAGGCAGGTACCTGATGGCTTCAACACACGCCTCAGCTCCATGAGGGCTGCCTGCGGGGCCCAGCCGAAGCCAGCGACCCGGCACGACCGACGCGACCCGGCTGGCTGAGTTTACGTCCAGAAACTACGACCCAACTGGTAGCAAGGGTAGCAAGGTGGTGGCAGTGGATGTAAACGATCGTTTTTGTTGCTTTCTCGCTGTATTTGTTTGAAGAAATCTTGGACAATCAATGGCTGTTCACTGCGTTTCACAGCAGCATGGTGCCAAAGGCTGTTGTAGCCTAGGCAGAATCGACATGTACAGTCCAGCACAAGAGAAAGGCTGGAGTGGCTCTTGCCCTTAAATAAGTACACACGTCACAGCCACCTTCCTGAACGTCAGAGTTCGGGGTTCTCAAGTGGACCCTAAGAAGAACATGTTCATGAGGGAAAAAGAGCTGCTTTATGGCATGGTGTTCATTGGTTTTCCAAGGTGACTGCGGTCAAACAACAGTGGGCTTTGGAGTCCTCACAAGCCCACTAATGCCATTTCTGCATTGCTTCCCACGCGCTTGATCCGCCCGCCCGGGGTGGCAAAGGCCCCCGGGGTCATGGAGCCGGACCGAAGGGCACGCGACATGTCGGCGTCCCCGAAGGCGTTGTCCTCGCAACGGAACCACAACTTCCCGACCATCCCCTGGAGCAAACCCAATGAAGTAGCTAGAAGCTATTAGTAACAAGTGCATCGCTAGTAGTAACAAGTGCATCGCTACTAGTATATAGAAGCTAAGTGATTTTAGTAACCCAATGGTGAGCGACAAAACACATCACCAAATCCCCCACTATCTTCCATCTTCAGGTCCCAATAAGTTGCTCTGAGCCCATCCTGAGTCCCACAGCCACTTTGGCCTCTTCTGTCCTTGGTGAACTCTGCCTTCATGACCGCCAAGGGAGAAGGCATCACACCTGGATCGAGATCCAATGCCAGCTCCCGCATGGAGTACGCCACGGGAATCGGTGAAGGGATGCCCTTTTGCCTCACCCATCGTGACGCATCGGTCGCACGCATCGGGAAAGCACAAAGCCAGCCGTGGCCACTGAAATGATCGGTTTTTCCTAGAGAACCAAGAACCCCTAAAAATGGCATACCCTGAAAATACATTAGGTTTGTAAAGAAAACACGAGTTTTGTTGCCGTCCTCAAAACGATACGATGGCCTACGGGATTTTACGGTTTTTATACAGGTTCGAAACTTAGTGCTTTTGGACAAGCAATGTTTTCGCTAGAAACACACATGTTTTTAGTCTAGTGGAGCCAAAACACAATGTTTGCCATGGAACACGACAAATTCGTACGCTTTGGGTTCCATAGGTTGAGATGGTCATCCACATTTCATCGAAAGATCATCCTACTTTCAGCGGGAAGAACAAATACCACGACTTCAATCGAGTTGATGTGAAATCTTCGACCGAAAAAGTCTTCGTTCATCGACTGAGTTGCTCTTCCTGCTGCGCAGCCATAACTTGTTGCACCGCATTACCATAGGCATAGACAAAGACACCTGGAATTCAGCAGGTTGGATCATTGGAAACACACGGAGGGGTCCAGCATCAGAGGACAATTACCCCCAAAACCGATGCAATGCACCCACTCATCACATTCCAAGCACCCGCAGTCATGAAGATGAATCCGACCACCTGGATCCAGGAAGCGTTGCCTTGCCATGGCTCTCCCACAGGTCCATACCCGAAGCCCCGATGGCCCAAGCCATAGAAGAGAGCCATGTCGATGAGCCAAACAAACAGCGCTTGCATGTTCCGACTCACAGCTCGGAAGACGGATCCCAAGTGCTTCATGACCATCATGCCCAAGGCATTCAAGCCCCAAAGCCCAAGGAGATAGAAGAAAAGCACCAAGTCCAAAGTCCCATTCCGTTGAATCATCATCAATGAGTCCTCAGTATTCTCAAACACTCCTCCTACGTCACTTCCAGGGATATAGGCCAAAATGGGCATAATCACACAGGCGGTCATCAGTAGGCCATAGACACCTGGCAGGCGGCGAAGCAGTGTTGGGGGGCAAGGACACCACGGCAGCTTGCAGTGTTTCGCAGCGTCTGTTTTCACTGTTTCACGCTGGAAAACCCACCTTCTGTACCAGTGACCTCAAATGGATGAAGCCCTGATTCGCCCATGACCTTCTCCTCCAAGACAAACTGGATGCTGTTCACAACTCGGGCCAACACGCAAAGGAACCTCACGTGGTTGAAAACACCGTTTTTCATGGGAAAAAAGAACGACTCGTTAAACCTCTACATTCGCATTTTTTGGGCTGGTGACCCAAGAGTGGGGTAGATTGCAGTCTGAAGGGTCTTTAGGCAAAAGAGATGACACTCTGCAGAGGAACATGCCAAAGGCTTGCTCAGAGGCAGATGCTTCGTGCACACCCTGGTTCTTGTCTCGTGCAGCCATGTCAGCAGCATAGCCAACGATGAGTAAAGATGCCAAAACGATGAACATGCCTGCATATTGAATGCTATTGTAGCGCCTCCCGAGGAAGATGTAGCTATTCAGAGCCACCATGATGATGATTGAAGATCCCAACATCTGGGCCGTGCTATTGCCTGCTTGGTCATTTAAACCACCCAAAAAAGAATCTGGTCGATTGGGCTATCCGGATACCCCTTCCCAAGTAGGGATGCAACAACAAAAACATACAACAAACTATTCCAAACCGCCCAGTTGCTGATGTAGACCAAGCCTGTGAAGCTTAGGATGCTCCCCACCAGGTCGCCCATTGCAGGCAGGAATATCAAAGCTCTCACCTTCCATCCACGATCTTTCACCTCTTCTGTCAACAACAATTCACTGTGAGTCCCATTGGCCACTTTGGAAGGCTTTGAAAAGCTCTCGACTGCCCAATAGAGCGGGAAGGACAGGGTCATGCCAATAAACATGAGAAGCTCCAAGAACCACGGCTTCTTGAAGAAGTGTGCTGGATAGGCAGGGTCGCCCACATCTTTGATCTGATAGGCAAACTTGTTGGTCACACCTCCAAGTGTGATCACTGACAAGAAGGATACAATCAAAGCAGTTTTGTTCACCATGACACCACTTGCCGGCGCGGCTGCGCGTAGTGTGGCTGGTGCGGGTGATGCCCGTTCGAGTTCAAACTTGCAAAACATCCACCACTTGTTCTTGCAAAGCTGCCGAATGATTCATCCTGTTCTTTGACGTTTCTGATCCCCGTAGAAACACGTACTGGATCGTACTGGTCATCACCATCAGGCCTACTGATCCAACTGACTGGACAAATCATATGCATGATGTCCATATCGACCCGTGACCGCGAGCCTCTCGTCTGGAGCCTAACCGTTCCATCGCTCCATCGGACAAGAGGGCCATGTCCTGAGGATCCGTCGTGAAATCAGCGCTCCTCGTGACAGATCGCATTTCATTGCTTGGTCCTGGTTCCCAGTATCAAACTCGTCTTAGACATCATCAACGCTTAGATGTACACCCTGACCCAAGCTTGGCATCTGAGGTGCCAGCCACACTACCCTTGTCGACTTGCCACCTGCCCCAAAATCGCAGGTTAGCAGGCCGTTTGGTTGTGGTGTGCTTGGGACCAACTTGACTTTGTTCAACCACATCATAATCATCATATATGGCTGACCCCCCCCCAGAGTGAGCGGAATTCAACAGAATGGACTACCTGAGGTTTCGTGGTGACCCACAGCCCACACCCCATCTCTAGGTCAGGGTCAGCACAAATTCCGAAAGACCAACACCCCCAGGTCCTTTAAGGCAAAAAGCTTCGCCACTCGAGCGGCAAAAGGCGGCAAAACCGTGCAACTCTCCGGTGCCTCTCCGAAGGATTGACCCAGCCCTGAAACCGAGGCTTTGCGCCTTGAGCGTTGGCCTCCGCCAGGCGCGTTTACGGTAGTTGACTGAGAAATGAACCGAACGGTACTCAAATGTACTGAGTACCTTTCGGGTTGGCAACAGTACTTCTCAAGAACAACAAATATGTTTCTTCATTTGATACTACCGGACACACGCACACATAATTAGTAAATATGTATGTACGTACAGCATTACAGTATATAATATACTTACCATATCATTATATAATATTGTATATCACGTGAACCCCAAGACCCCAACATAGACCTTTAAACTGCTTTAAACAGATAAACACGTGAGTTGGACCTCTACCTCGCTGCAGTAGACATCCATATTACACACCAACATAGCATCCTCATTCAGCCCCATGGAGCCCGAGCTCTGTCAGTGGGGATGCCGTTTGAGTCCACTGTGGAGTGCAAGCTTTCGACTGAGGAACCAATATAGAGTCACTGGTTTCTTTTGTGGTGTGAGAGATGCGATTCCCAAAAGCCGGAAAGCCCTGGGAAAAGTCTGGTCCCTTCGCTGTGTGAGACGAGTGAAGAGGGAAAAGGGAAGACACAAATGAGCCCCTTCTTGGATCTGGGGCCTGTGAACCTAAGGACTGTTAACGCCTGGTCTTCTATTGCCAATGACCAAGAGCACGTTCGTGGGGAACCACTGTAAATGGATTTGGAGCCACATCCCCATCAAACATGACATCCCCTGAGAACCAGTGTATCTGGTCTTGCCATTTACCTGGCTTTCCACTTGTCGCTTGTCCTTGTCGCGGCAGGCGTTCCCTTTGCGGCGACTTTTCCGTTCCACTTTCTGCTGCTCCCATGACCAGGCTCAGCCATCGCAATAGGTTCGACCATGTTCTCCACATGTGGGACATTGGGACTTATTGGGTGGGAACACAACACTCCACATGATTCACCCACGGGTCTTCAACAGGATTCAGGATTGTTTCATCAAGCTTTGGAGCCACTGCTTTTCAGATCTTTTTAGAGTTGTAGCTTGGCTCATCCACATAGTAGAAACAGTAGGAACAACAGCCCCAAAAAGCAGTGGACACATGTGGACACAAGGGACGTCTGATGATCCTGCAAACACAAGGCCAGTCTGCCGTCTGCATCAAATAAGGATGCACCTTCTTGGCCTTGGCCGTCGTACAACCGCGGCCACATTTCTACAAAATGGAATGGTGTTTCACCGCGTGTCCACCGCATGAAACCTCTACCTACTGTGGTCAATATTAGTCCAGCAATGTCCAGCATACTCCAGCTACCTCTTTGAATGGTGTAGTCAAGAATCAAAGGCTCACGACTGATGTAGCTGACGACTCACGACCTACCTCCAACGAATCCTATGACGGATTGAAACGAATCCTTGAAAGCGAGGTACTTCTGCTTCTTGCTACATTGCCATTGCCTGTCTGCTAGCCTTAGACCAAACCCACGCTTCCGTGACCGAGGGACGCATGGCTGTGTCCTGGTGATCTCATCGGCACCTGTCGCGAGGGACCATGGCTGGCAGTGGGGAATAGCCATGGTGTGACATGCATGGCAGGTAGGATCGCAAGACTCGTCGCTCTAATAATGTGCACTGAGATGTAGGTGCATCACATGTGATGATCACACTGACTCAAACCAGCCCAGATTCTCAAACCAAGCACGGCTCAGCCTGCAAATGTGCTTTTTGCCGGTCAAAAGGGCTCTACTATCTGGGAACACAACCGAGCCTCCTCCTTCCCGGCATACCATGTTCCAGCCTTGAATGAGCGGGCACATGTGGCATAAAAGTTGTGCTCGCATTCCATCCAAGGCTGAAGACGGCTGTAGATGTCACAAGCTCTTCAGGTTCCTCTAGTAATTGGTTTCGATGTAGGAGCCGTTCGGAATGCCTCCCGTGGTTCCACCAGGTTCCACCGCCTCCCTTCCTTTTGGTCATATGATGTCATAGTCGATTCTTGCCGATTGACATCCGGACATCAAGTATGACTTCTTGAGCGCTCGTAACACCTGTGAGCGCTCGTAACCGCGACTCGAGGAGCGCCGGAAAGCAACACAGCAAGATCGACATCTGCAGTCGGTCCCAGAACTGCTATGACTCACCAGAACTGAAGTTGCGGAGACCAGGGGAGTTCTGAAGAATTAGTCCGAGGTTGGGTGAGTGGGTCAACATGGGTCAACCGACTCAACATGGTCAACTGTGGCATCTGCCCAGTAGATGTGACGATCTTGGCGTGGTTGCAGGCCTCAAATAGCAGGGCGAAGGGTATCGAAAGGTATAGAAAGGTGACAGGCCCCAACACTTGGCAAAGAATGGCAAAGACACGTCCTGGGAACTCACAGCTGCCCTAGCCGTCCATCCCTGAATGGCCCAAGTACTTCCTCCTTGCCACATAGCTACTGCGCTGGACGAATGAGATGCTGTCCCTTGAGCATGTTCTGCAACCGTTTTTTGGGGTGTCAAGATGCAGCTCTTCCAAGAAACATCATATTCCACTTGTATACCGTATACCATATACGGTATACAAGTGGAATATGATGTTTCTTGATGTCATGTTTTTTGGTGTTTCTGATCACCTCCTTTTTACCACTAGGTGGTAAACTCTGAACTGAGCCTTTGCCCCAGCAAAACACTGCAACCATGAGACGCAACTCATTCAAGCAATCAAACTTTACGAAGAGGGGGACCTACGCAAGAAGCCTACGCGAAGATATCTCCCTCAAAAGCCTACGCAGGCCTACACCCCCAAGCGAATTTGCTTATGGAAACAAAACACAGGTCAACCTCTATAGAAATCCGTTCATTTATTAAAAAAAACTCGGCTCACTTGGTCCCAGGCAGCAGCACATGCTGGCGGCATACTCTTCTGGTCTTTGAAGACGCTCCTTCAGTCACTGTAGGGTGTGTGCGGCAGCTCCTAAACGATATCAGAGTGCGATTAGTTTGGTGGCGATTTCCCGCAGTCGTGAGTTTGAGTCCTTGATTTGTGTGGTCTCCAGGTGATTGCTTTTGGATACTTTTGGGTTCCTTCCAATGTCCCAGATCCCAGTTCTGTTGGGTCGAGCTTGGGACCCCTGTCATAGTTGAAAGATATGGCAAAATCTGCTGGAGATGGCAGGACGCGAGACAACTCACCTCGACAAAATGATTCAGCATGATCACACACACTCATGGCAAAGGTGCAGGAACAATACTACAGCTAGAATCGAAGGAATCACAGACTCCCTGAAGAAGCCATCAACAACTCATACGGCATCATGCAGCCAAACTTTGTTTTTGGATATGTTCAGGTTGCAAAGAACACGTTGTGCTGAGCCGTTTCCGGTCTGTGCGAAGACCTTGGTTTGGTTGGCCATCTTGTATTGATGGTTCGTCCACACTTTGAATCTGCAATGTTTGACTGACAATCTCTGGACTGTGAGGCTATACTATACTGTATATTAGACTATAGTGCTCTATGTTGAGGACGTGTCTTCCATGTTTGATGTTTGTTTGGAAAAAACAATGAAATTCCCAGAAGGCTTTCCACATCTTTATACTCTACGAACAACCCGCTCGATTGGTGCCGTCTGCTGTTTCTCCAAACAGCCCAGCCTTCCGCTCAGACCGATTGTGATATCCCAGGTGTGACAACAAGAGTCATCTTTGAAAATCGAATTGCGGAAAACACCAAGCATGGACGCATGGGCACTAGCAGAAAGAAGCCTGTCACAAAACTGCCACGGCATCAGTTGCACATGCCATTTCATGGAAGCCCACCTCTTCCTCCTTGATGCTTTCCATCTGGCAGGCATGGGGCAAGTCTCTCAGGTTCCTTATCGCTCGAATGCAAGGCACCGGTCGTTGAACCGTGGGCAACAGCGCTGAGCAGAACGGTCGGTCTTGTGCGTCATTCGTCTAGTAGTCAGGCATACTGCTCATACCAAACCACATTGCATCACCCTGGTTGACTGGCCATCTTAACTAAATCTGTGGCATAAACATCCTGCATATTGTTTTAACATCTACTTCCAGCGAGAGACCTGCAAACCATAAAGTGATCGTTCGTCCACCCGAACATGTGAATTCATCACCATAGAAGCGATCCATTCTGTAGAGTCTTGGCACCCTATCACTATCAGATTAAAGGCCCTGTAGATACTGTTTTGCGGCTTGTACCAAGAGTAACATAGAGTAATCAACGTTATGTTTTTCTTTATATACATGTTCCATAGCCCTACCAACAATGTCCTTTTGGATCCTCTTGAGAATAATGGAGGGGGTCAGTTTGGTAATTACCATATTTACCTATTGCGTGTACAATTGGGGATACCCCATGTATAAATCAACCAATCAATAGTAAAAGGCAATATCTATGATCCCCACTATCCTGTGTCTTTAACTCAGTCTCGTGACTAATCCCGCCCCTTTTAAACAATAATGCAGTTTCTTAGACGACTACTCCAATCTTCTTTTTAGGGTGGGAGCAGATCCTATAGGTCTATAGGTGGGAACACTTGCAAACCGACGAAATTCAATTGCACTCAATGCCTCGGCGTCCCGACGAAGAGCAGCTGCTCTGGTTCACAAAGCTTGGATCAGAGCAACGAGCCATGATGGTGAGGAGCCTCGGGCGACCGGGCGAAGCGAAGACGAACGGTGCGAAGAAGCGCGACCGGGTGGCCAAAGCGTCTCCAAAGTCACAACGCCAAGCATCAGTGGTCGGTGAACCAGCGTCCCCAAAATATAGATGCATGGAGCCGGGGTGAAACTCGTGTCCTTCTTGAAAACCATGGGTGGACCAATTTGGAAGATGTGGGCTGCTGGCAGTCATTGGTGGACCAACGTTGCTGGAGTTGCAGATTGAAGACATTCAATCACATGGGACACGGAACTGGTTCCATCTGAAACGGGCTTCCCTGCGATATATGACGTACACACAATATTTGGATATATTTGGTAGATATGGATTAATTATTTTTGATAGTGATGCGTCCCGGCACCCTAAGCATGTAAAGCACCAGCCGAGTGCTGACTCAAACC